AAGTAACGATTTGGTTCTTAATACTTCCATGTGACAATGAAATGATAACGAAAACAAAAGCAAGAAAGAAAAATTATCCTTGTGTGCTAAAATATCTTCATCAGTTGTGAACCACAAGAATCCCTGGGCTATACTTAATATATATTTGTTTTTATATTTTAAAAATATTTTAAAAAAAATTAAATTAAATTAAATTTTATTTACTTAAATTAATATTTATTTATTTTTAAATCATTTTAATATAATAATATCAAAAATAATTTTTTTTTTATTTTGATAAATTTTTAAACAAAAAATACTTTGAAAATAACTGCTATAAATGCTTAAATATATTTTTACTATTATTATTGTGTTTCAACTATGGAAGGTAATATTTTAAAAAATAATTTTAAAAAAATAAAATATATATTATTTTATTATATTTCTAAATAAAAAGTTTTTAAAACCAGCTGCTACCATTCTTTCTAATATCACTACCTAAACGTATTTAGTTCGGCAAACATTCCGAGAAGAACTTTCGGAGCAACGTAGTATTGAAACACATTCAATCTACTGCCCTGCAGGTTCCCAATTACGATAAAGCTCATCAAGACCATCATGATCAAGATTCTTTATGTAAATGCCATCGTCTTTTAGAGTCCAAACGCAGTTCTTCCACATGCATTTGTAGAAGAGGAGAACGTCATGCCAAAACACTTTGAAGACGGCCTGAGCATCATCCCTGTTCACATCACACCAGAACACTGTTCTAAGGAAGAAATCCTCTCTGAAACTCCAAGTGAAATTATCGCCTGCTGAAAGATAGTGGAAGCCAAGATCATCGTCTTTCGACTTGCAATGAACAGACAGCTCCCTGTTATTGCTTAGTCCATTGACAACATACACATGCCATGTTGTGAATTCATATAGAATACGTTCCTTCTTGGCTGCTACAAAACAATATTGGTGAATAAAATTGATGGCCAACGCCAGAACAAGTGCTGTAACAACAACCTTGTTGATGATCTTGGGGGCATTCGTCATTGGCAAATGGCTATTTCTATGAGCCAACAAGTGATATTTGTGAATTGTGATCGATCTTTCAAATATTTATCTACTTTTTAGAGGTGTATTTATATATATAATGTGATTGCATGGGTAATTAATTTCCTGTGCAATCATGGCTTTAATTTTGCAGCGTGATATAGAATTAAAATGGCATAAATTATCAGTCGAAAATTTAAAGCGTTATAAATTCATTAAATTGGGTGAATGTGCGTGATTAAACCGAGGGCAATTCTAAGGACATTCGTTCAATCTGGTGTCATGCCTTGTCCACTCAAATTTATAGAGGAATTTAGCAGTGTTGTTAGACTGGACAGGTCCGACAATTCAACTCATGAGTTAATTTAAAAATTTTAAATATGAGTTCATTTGTTTAAACCTAGGTGATTTGGCGGGTGAAATTTTTTATTAACTCTTGTTAATTTATTTAACTCGTAAGAAATTATAGGAGTGTTTAGGATGGTTTCTGCTTCTACTTTTGGGAATAGCTATGAAAATCAGGCTCTATCATATGTTCAGATCAACCACTAAATCAAGTTTAAAAATTTTATAATATAAAAAAAATATTAAATTAATGATTTTTTAGTGTTTTTTAATATTTTTGATGTGCTAATATAAAAACTAAAATAAAATATTTGAAAAAAATTCTTTTAATTTATTTTTAATTAAAAATCTATTTTAAAAAGCATCTCATACCGAAACCATGCCTCTATGATTCTAAAATTCACGTTAACTTTTTTGTTCTCTCTTCTCTTCATCCTTTTATATTTACTTTTATATTTACAATAACACTGATTTATAATTATCTATTATCATAATTTTATAATTTACCAACAAAATATTTTATCGATGGCTAGAAACTGACCTACGCCTACAAGACTTTTACTTACGGGAGGTTCCATTGTGTTACAGAGTTGACGGAGGAGGAGGAAGATGCAAAAAAGGAGAAGAGGGGGGGGATCGCACACCAGATTATAATTTAAATATTATTGATAGATTTATAGACATGTGTTACAAATGAGTTTATTTTATCAGTAATTTTCTTGATTGAAATAATATATTATTATACATTTTATTTTATTTTAATTTATTATTTTTCATACTATAATTCTCTTGATATATATCAAATAAATATTTTCATCATTATTTAATAATAAACACAATAAAAAAACTAACTTGTTGGTAAAGCTCATCACAATTTACTAATAAAAAATTTATATCAGCATTTTTGCTTATATTTACTAATTTTCTTGTAGTTATCGGTTCATACATGTATGCTACTAGCATACTCGTTTGGTATTGTTGTATTATATATTATTGCCACTTGTGTTTTACTTGGGTTAATAAGCTCATAACTCCCTTTATTTTTGTAATTTTTTTAGAGTGCCATCTATCAATTAATTTTTGTAACATGGCCGCCTATTTATATTTTGTTACTTAAATTCGTGATTACTTCCAAATCTAGATATTAAAAGTTGAGTTGATATGATCACGAGCGGGATCAGTTGCTCGCTTTCTTTGTTTTATCAAGGATTAAGTTTATAAGTTTATGCAATTTTATCATAATTCTGTAATTGAGTTGCGGTGTAGATAGATAATTAAGGCTAACTAAATCCCATATTAGAAGATAGAAATCTCGGGGTCTAATGCATCAAGCCAATTGATTTGCATTCAATATATGGATTTCGATGAAATAACTGAGGATAAGTAGGAGGTCTCTATTAAAAAAAAAAAAATTGATGAGGAATCATATTAAGAAAGTTAAAAAAATAGAGAGAATTCTTAGATTTTTAACCCTACTATATTAATGCGTAGTCTGGAAAAAGAAATATTATTAATAAACTAAAATTAATAGTTTCTATATGATACTTAATGTGATTTTAAGATTTTTATTCTTACTTATTGTAGAAAAAAAAAGTACTTAATAAAAATAGTGGACTCCAACATTAACAACAAAAACAATATTAGATACCATAATAAATTATTCTGGTTATGGTTACAATTATTCATGAAACAAAGAGCGATCTCATGCTAAAATTAATGTCCTGTAAAAATATCAAAACTTTTTGTGCCTATCTCCTAATATTTCGTGCTGCCACTGCTCTGGTAAAAAGAAAAAGAAAAAAAGAAAAAAAACTCTCTAAATATTGAGAGTTATAATTTAATTGGTCAGGTTTTATATTTAATTTTAAAAAAATTATTAGTTTGAATGTTATAAATTTTAAAATTATTAAAAATTTATATAATTGTTAATTTTAAAGAATTAATTAAAACATATATAATTTAGTATTTATGAAAAAAACAAAAAAAAACTATATGTGATGCTGTGAGCACCATGTGTGCTCCCCAGAATTTCTAGGGCCAACATGTCCTTCGACAGGTAGATTGCAAAGAAGCAAAGTTCTTAAATGAGAACCTAACAGCCCTGCAGCACAGTAATAACGGTAGGTGCGTGCAAGCTTTTCTTTACTAAAAGGTAATGAATTATTCAACTCAAGTCATTCAATGTCCCCTGATAGCCATCAGAGCTTTGCTGCTATCCAAGGAGCTAGTAGAAGCTGGTGGCCTCATCAATGCAAGTTTCACCAAGCATAATAATATCTCTGTCACGGATTGTCTGTTTTCTAGCATTATGGATCCACCAACTTGGAGATCAGGTCACAAAGATGACCATCCGATCGTTTGATGTCTCTGGAATTCTTGTTGGAAGAATCATAACACTTGGGTATTGAATTGTCTAGTTTCGGGATTTAATTTCAAGGGTATGCTTTTGCATATCAATAAATAGTAAACTTTGATGTTGATGTTTTTTTTACTTAATGTATTTGAAAATATAATAATGATTATTATTTAAAGTATTTTTTATTTAAAAATATATTAAAATATATATTTTTTAAATTATTTTTAACATCCTCACGAGTCTATATAATTTGAAAATATAACATATTAATTTAAAAAACATTTTTAAATTTTTAAAAAAACACTACCTCAATCACATTCCCAACATTTCGTGACACAACTTGTAAGTTATTATATTATTTCTTAATATTATTGTAATTGAAATTCCTTAAATCTAAAATTCATAAGCTTTAAACTCAACCATTTGGCTATTAAACAACTATATATCTAAAATCAAAAGACTTACGCAGACTCAAAAATGCTTTAACGTTACTTTCTTAAAATTCAGTATTGCTCAAACGCTTTTGGGGACATTCTTGTAGTTCTAGTTAGGGCCGAAGAGGTCACAGGATGGAGAGTTGCTGATAACCAGCCATGACAGGGCTCGAACCCAAGCTCACAAGAGCGAGGTTGATCGAAAGTATTTAACAGTACTGTACCAAGTGATTGCTGGCCATAAATTCTCTTGGATGGTTGTCAAGACATGGACTATTTGGACTGAAGAGAAAAATAAGACTAGTAATCTAGGGTTCAGGTTGATTGAGGGCGACGAGGTCTGATGCTTTAAGCCCTGAGGTAAAACCCCGAAGCACCTGATGCATGCACCTACCGACTTGAAGATATATGTCGGGCCAGTATCTCATTAATTAAAACATGTTTCTTCTTAAATTATGCCTATGTGTTTTTCATTCATGGGATTGCTAGCTAGTAACGCTCTTTAATTGGCATGACAAATCGTCCCAGGTAATTAGATAATTCCATTAATTGATCCCAGAATTTCTTCTTTTATATATAAATTACGATTGATCTATTAAAAACCTGTTATAACCATTAAAAAGAGAAAAAAGACACAAAACACCTGCAAAGTTATAGGAAGTTTACTTACCCAGAATCAGCATTAAAGGAAAGTATTTTTAACTTAATTTACCTGCTAACGGAAAGAACTATATATTACTAATAATTATAGTATATTTATCAGTTCATTAGTGCTGCTATCAGTTCTTGAGTTATTGGCAATGTAGAAAATACATCAAACTCAAATGTAGAAGACTTGCAAGAACGACAAGGAACTAAGCTTTTAGATATAATTAATTGATATCCATTCAAACATGACAATAACGATATCTCAAAGTACGTAAAAGACACCAAATTAAGGAAATACAAATAAAACCAGACACAGCAGCAGAAGGAACTGTATGCATGGTAACTAAAGCATAGACGACAACCTCACATGTTCAGCTTACTTAACTGAGACAAACTAGAAAGGAACTAAACTTGAGAGCAAATATTAATTTCAAGGGTAAGGAAGAACACCACTTCCACCACCAACACCCCCACCTACACCGCCTCCACCACCAACACCACCGCCAACACCACCACCCAAGCCCCC